CCACCTTCCCAGTCCTGTGTTGCTTATTTTTTTGAGATTAGGGTCTCCCTTCCTGTCCAATCTTTGATCTCTTCCTTTTTTGTGCTTCCTGGGATTGCTGGGATGATGTGCTCAGCGGTTGAGATAAAGTTTCTCAAACCAACTCCCTTCCCCGCACCCTGCCAAACACACATCTCAAACTGAGATCTCTTGTCTCCCAAGTAGCTAGGATTACAGGAATAAGCCACCCTACCCAGCATGTTTTGATCACTTATGCATTTCTGCTACCCAGGATGCTCACTGTTCTGATCTCTTGTCTCTCTACCCCATCCCCACTGAGGATGGAACCCAGGGCCTTGAACATGCTAAGCTGGCATGCTACCTCTGAATCATACCCAGCCTTTCCCATCTGTGCTATTTGTCGCCTTCCAAAGCTTTTGCTGCTAAGAAATCTGTCTCCTCCATTGCTCGTGGTTCACACCTATGATCCTAGTTATTCAGGAGACAGAGATCTGAGGCTCACAGTTCCAAACCAGCCCTGGCAGGAAAATCCTTAAGACTCTTATCTCCCATTAAGTAGCAGTAAGCTGGGCTGGGAATGTGGCTTAGTGGTAGATTGCTTGCCTAACACTCATGAAGCTCTGGGTTCAGTTCCTCAGTACCACATGAACAGAAAAAGCCAGAAGTGGCACTGTGGTTCAAAAGTGGTAGAGTGCTAGCCTTGAGCAAAAGAAGCTCAGCGATAGTGCCCAAACCCTGAGTTCGAGGTAACCTGCAGGCCAGCCTGGAAGGCAGGACTTCTTGACTTCTCAGACCCAGCGCCTCTCCTCCCCACCCCCCATCCTGCTGAAGTTTCAGGCAGGACCCAGAGTGTGGCTGGGAACTAGGCCAGACCCTGAGCAGAGGTTTGTGTGCGGGAGTTTCGGTCAGGGCTCGGTCATCTTTGATGTTGTTCACTCAAGTCTGACTCCCCAGTATTTATCTGCAATTAAAGAGCTGGTTCTTAATTAGGCTGATGGCTGTGGGAGATGGCGGGACCTCAGCCTTGGAACCCTGAGGAGGAAAAGATCCTTCTATGAGAGACTGTCCCCTTGCATACAGATTGCCACCTGGGCTGTACAGGAGAGACGTAACGTAGGGTAGCGGGGGGGGGGGTGTTCTGTGGACTCAGGGACTCAGGGATGCCACTTTCCTCCTCCAGTGCTGTGTTACAGAGAGCGTGGCCACAATTAGAAAATCCAAGTGGACATGCCTCTCTCTGTGTGTGTGTGTGTGTGTGTGTGTGTGTGTGTGTGTGTGTGTGTGTGTGTGTGTGTGCATGACAATGTGCCAATACTGGACTTGAATTCAAGGCCTTCATACTCTTTCTTGGCTTTTGTGCTCAAAGCTGGTGCTATACCATTTGAGCCACACCTCCACTTCTGGCCTTTTGGTAGTTACTTTTTGTTTTGTTTTGTTTTTGTCGGTTGTGGGGCCTGAACTCTTTCTTTCTTTCCTTCCTTCCTTCTTTTCTTTTCTGAGGCTTGATTCCACCCACCCCCACCCCCCTGCCCTGGTTGTGGGTCCTGAACTCTCGGCCTGGGCCCTGTCCCTCAGCTCTTCAGCTCAAGGCGAGCGCTCTACCACTTGAGCCACACCACCACTTCTGGCTTTTTCTGCTTATGAGGTGCTGAGGAAATAGAATCCAGGGCCTCATGCATGCAAGGCAAGCGCTCTACCACTGAGCCATCTTCGCAGCCCTGGTAGTTAATTGGAAACAAGAATCTTATAGACTTCCCTGCTTGGTTTGACTTGGAACAAAGATGCTCAGATCTCAGTCCTCCTGAGTAGCTAGGACTACAGGCATATGCCACCAGGGCTTATTCCACTGACTCCATCCTTCCCTTCTTAAGCTCTTGTCACTGCAGGTACCAAGCTAGAAGGTAGCTAGGGTGCTTTAGAGTTTGGAAAGGCCTTTGCCACCTGTACCCTGAGGATTCTTTGCCTGTGAAAGGCAAAGGAGACAATAACATTGCCTCATTAGATGCTGGGGCTCACACCTGTGATCCTAGCTCATCAAGGAAGGCTGAGATCTGAAGACTCTGGTTCAAAGCCAGCCCAGGCAACAAATTCATGAGACGCTTATCCAGCAAAACTCTGGAAGTGGAGGTGTGACTCAAGTGGTAGAGCACCAGCCTTGAGTGCAAGCAAGCAAGATCACAAAGCTTGCCAGGTGCTGGTAACTCATGCCTGGAATCCTAGCTACTTAAGAGGCTGAGACCTGAGAATCACTGTTTGACTCCGCATGGGAAGCAAAGTCCTTGAAATGCTTATCTCCAGTTAACCCCCAAAAAGCTGAAGTGGAGCTATGGCTCAAATGGTACAGCACTATGCTTAAGCAAAACACACAAAAAATTTCAGGGGGCTGGGAAGGTGAATCAGTGGTAGAGTGTTTGCCTTGCATGCATGAGGCCCTGGGTTCAATTGCTCAGCACCACATAAGCAGAAAAAGGCAGAAGTGGTGCTGTGGCTCAAGTGGTAGAGCACTAGTCTTGATCTGAAGAGCTGAGGGACAATGCCCAGGCCGAGAGTTCAGGACCCACAACCGGGGCAGGGGGGTGGGGGTGGGTGGAATCAAGCCTCAGAAAAGAAAGGAAGGAAGGAAAGAAAGAAAGAAAGAAAGAGGTATGGGCTGAAGGTAGCTCAGTGGTAATACACTTGTCTGATATTCTTGGACCCGGGGTTTTCCTCATTCTCTAGTATGTGCCATGGGCCTCAGTTTCCTTACCTCTGAATTGAGCTGTGCAAGAAAGTGCCCAGCTTACAGACAGCACCCACTGATACCTGTTCCCATCATGTCGCCAGTATCCTCACTCTGAGTACTGAGCCTGGCATGCTAAAGAACTTCGTGCCCTGCTGAGCAGTGCTGGGCTAGCCCTGCTCTCCTGGGCTCAGGTCTCCCAGACGTGTGCCAGATGGATAGTCTATTGGAGCTCAGGATGGAGCTGGGACTGGCTAGGCGGTAAATGCCCATCTTGGACAGGGAGCAGGACATCTTACTTTCTCCCCTGTCTACTCACTGGAACCTAAGGGCTGGGAGTGAAGTCCAGGATGCAAATGATAGGAGCTTGGGGCTGTGTGAGGAATGATTTCCCCAGCAGATCTCTGCCATCTCAATGCCAAGCAGAGCATGAGGGTGCATTCCTGGGGCTTGGGCCCTGCCCACTGCTGCTCTTGGCTTTGTTTGTTTGTTTTTGTTTGTTTGTTTTGGGTCCAGTCATGGGGCCTGAACTCTGGGCCTGGGCGCTGTCCCTCAGCTCTTCAGCTCAAGGCTAGCACTCTACCACTTGAGCCACAGCGCCACTTCTGGCTTTTTTTCTTTTTGCTTATGTGATGCTGAGGAATGGAACCCAGGGCCTCAGGCATGCAAGGCAAGCACTCTACCACTGAGCCATCTTCCCAGCCCTGTCCCTGAGCTTTTATGCTTAAGACTAGCGCATTCTGCCACTTTGAGCCACAGTACCACTTCTGCTTTTTGGGTGATTAATTGGAGCTAAGAGTCTCCCAGGAACTTTTTTGCCCTGGCTGGCTTCAAACCACTGTCTTCAACCTCCTGAGTAGCTAGGATTACAGGCATGAATCACTTTTTGTGTTATTGGTCGTGGGGCTTGAATTCAAGGCCTGGGCACTGTCCCTGAGCTCTTTTGCTCAAGGTTAGCACTCTACCACTTTGAGCCACAGGACCACTTCCAATTTTCTGGTGGTTCATTGGAGATAATAAGTCTCAGGTGCATGAGCTGGCTTGGAACTTCAGTCCTCTGATCTCAGCCTTCTAATAGCTAGGATTATAGGTGTGAGCCACAAGCACCCGGCTAGTTGCAAATCTTGGTCCCCCGGTTGTCCCAATCCCCAGCGACCTGACTTACCTGTGCTCGCTTTCCACCTGCCCTGCAGACGCCAGCATGTCTCCAGATGCCAGCAAGCCGAGCCACTGGTGCAGCGTGGCGTACTGGGAGCACCGGACGCGGGTGGGCCGTCTCTACGCCGTGTGTGAGCAGGCCGTGAGCATCTTCTACGACCTACCTCAGGGCAGCGGCTTCTGCCTGGGCCAGCTCAACCTGGAGCAGCGCAGCGAGGCCGTGCGCCGCACCCGCAGCAAGATCGGCTTCGGCATCGTGCTCAGCAAGGAGCCCGATGGTGTGTGGGCCTACAATCGGGGCGAGCACCCCATCTTTGTCAACTCCCCAACATTGGATGCACCCGGAGGCCGCACCCTGGTTGTGCGCAAGGTACCGCCAGGCTATTCCATCAAGGTGTTTGACTTTGAACGCTCCGGGGTGCTGCGCGCTGAGTTCGAGTCCACTGATGGCCCCTATGACCCCCACAGTGCCCGTATCAGCTTCGCCAAGGGCTGGGGACCCTGCTACTCAAGACAGTTCATCACCTCGTGTCCCTGCTGGCTGGAAGTCCTTCTCCACAATCACAGATAGAGCGAGCTGCCTGCCGCCAACACCACCACCGCCGCCACCACCACCGTCCCCCAACTTCCAGACCCAGGGGTGCCCCATGGACGAACCCCTCACCCCTACCCCATATCATCTACCTAGATTTAATATAAAGTTTTATATATTATATGGAAAGATATATTATACTTGTAATTATGGAGTCATTTTTACAATGTAATTATTTATGTATGGTGCAATGTGTATATATGGACAAAACCAGAAAGACGCACTTTGGCTTATCATTCTCTCAATACAGATATATTTTCTTTCTTTTCTTCCTTCGTTGTCTTCGTTTTGTTTGTTTAGGAAAGGGATACATCAGCCGGGTGCCAGTGGCTCATGCCTGTAATCCTAGCTACTCAGGAGGCTGAGATCTGAGGATCGCGGTTCAAAGCCAACCTGGGCAAGAAGTCCATGAGACTCCTATCTCCAATAAACCACCAGAAAAATGGAAGTGGGTAGAGCACTCGCCTTGAGCTGAAGAGCTGAGGGACAGCGCCCAGGCCCAGAGTTCAAGCCCCACAACTGACCCCCCCAAAAAAACAAAAAACAAAAATAGTATCAGTCACTCTTGGGGATAAAGTATTCTCATTATAGTGTTTTTGTTTCTGTTTTCCAAACTCCTCTTTTCACATAGAAGAGCATTTGAGTGATTTGGTGGGCCTCACCTGACCCATCCAGGACTCTGCAACTTGACTTCAATATTTATGGAGAGGGAAACAAACGCGAAGGCCCCAGGTTCAAGTTCAGATCCTCAGATCTCAGCCTCCTGAGTAGCAGGGATTATGGACATGAGCCACCTGTGCCCTGCTTGGCTTCAGGGATGCTGTGTCTGGAGAAACTCCATGAAAGGAAACAGGGCCTTCTGCCAGTAGCCAGCTATGGGCTCAGAGTAGATCCCTAAGACCCAGCGGGCCTGTGATAACTACAGGCCTATACACAGCCAGACCAGACCTTCACAAGGGATGGTAGTCACAGGCCCTCCCATGCCTGATATACAGGGATTGTGGAGTTGAGGGATGCTGTGAGTGATGTTTGTTTTAAGCTGCTTGGTGTGTGGATCGTTTATTACACAGAGAAGCTACACAGGACTTTCTAGAGCAAGCACTGCATGTTGATATAAATCTCTCAAGAAAGCACTCATGCCATGTATCATTCTTCTTTGCTATTTAGCTAATGAGTTCCCCCACCCTCCCTTAAAAAAGAAAAGAAAAGGATATTCTAGCTGGGTGCTGGTAGGTCACCCCTGTAATCCTAGCTACTCAGGAGGCTGAGATCTGAGGATATCTCAGTTCAAAGCCAGCCTGGGCAGGAAAAGCCATAAGACTCTTATCTTCAATTACAGAGAAAGCTGAAAGTGGTGCTGTGGCTCAAGCGGTAGCACTAGCCTTGAGGAAAAGGAGCTTAGGGACAGTGCCCAGGCCCAAAGTTCAAGGCCCAGGACCGGCAAAAAAAATTCTTTTAATCTAGAGAAAACACTGGTCTAACAATATGGCTTTATTCCTGCAATTAGCTAGAGCCTCTAAACCGCCATTTGTCATTCATCCTCCCAGAAGCCCGACCCTGTTCCTAAAGTTGAATACTCTGCCCTGTGCTTATGGCTCCCACCTGTAACCCTAGCTACTCAGGAGGCTGAGGTATGAGGATTGTGGTTCAAAGCCAGCCCAAGCAGGAAAGTCCATGAGACTCTTAATTCCAGGTAGCCAACAAAAAACCAGAAATAGAAGTGGTGAGGCTCTAGCCTTGAGAAAAATAGCTCAGAGACACCACCTAGGGCTCTGAGTTCAAGCTGTCCTGCTGGCACAAGAGGAAGAATAGGAGGTGGTAGTGGTGGCTAGCAGGAAGGAGATATTTCCCAAACGAGGTCATAGGTCCTTGCAGAGTGGTGGGTGGCTCTAGAGACAGGTAGACAGGTAGGTTGGACTTCCTGTCACCAAACCCAAATTTGGATAGGGGGAAAAGGGGTCCTGGAGTTGACTAGGTTTGACAGGATGTTAATCCCCACATTTTCCTCTCCATCCACACCCCATCCCCATCCTTGGTTCCCCATTACCTATCCTGTGTGTGTACATACACCCAAACATCCAAGCAGGTACTGGGATTTGAACTCAGGCCCTCATGTTCTCGTGTGTGTGTTTTTTACTCTAGGCTAATGACCTACCACTTGAACCTCAGCTCCACTTCTGGCTTTTTGCTGGTTAATTGGAGATAAGAGTCTCACAGAGATCCGGGCGCCGGTGGCTCAGGCCTGTAATCCTAGCTACTCAGGAGGCTGAGATCTGAGGATCGCAGTTCAAAGCCAGCCCAGGCAGGAAAGACCATGAGACTCTTATCTCCAATAAACCACTCAGAAAACCGGAAGTGGTG